CAGGGTAGAGTACATATTTATTTATTTATTTATTTATTTATTTATTTATTTATTTATTTATTTATTTATTTATTTATTTATTTACTTACTTACTTACTTACTTACTTACTTACTTACTTACTTACTTACTTACTTACTTACTTACTTAATTTTTATCCCACCCGTTTAGACCAAAGTCTACATAATTACAAATCATATGAGTATCTTCCTCTTTCAAGGTTGAGCACTAGTTTCCCTAAGTCTCCAGGAATTTCTATTGTTACTCCATGTAGATACAGACGTACTCAGTCTAAATGCTCAAAGATTATAGCAATTAGCTTTGTTAACTTTGAAATATCTTTTTTTTAAAAAAAGTTTTATAAAATTGTGAAATCCCATAGAATACATACGCCAGTTTTTGCAACACAATGATCATAGTAGGGTTCCATTGTATCAATTTAAGAAACACTCTTAGAGCAAAGTTGCATGCTGCTAGTTGATCTCCTTATTAGAAAATTGATGCCCCAGCCCGTTCTATACACATGTCTTTTAACGAATATCTTTCCAGACATTGGAGAGATACTGAGGGACCCTGGTAACCTGTTTGTCTTGCACATGCAAAATGAATTTACTGAAATGTAGTAACGTTCATCTCAGTTATGCCTCTGGTAATTCTTGGGTCTATGTGTGAGCTTTTCCGACAGTGTGATGCTCTGTAGTTGCTTGGTCCAAACAATCCAGCAAAGGCTTTTGCCAGTTTTCCAAAGTTTACTTATCTCCATTCTTGCAGCAGAAGTCCTTATACAAGGCATGTTATTTAGTGTTTGTAAAAGTAGTGACCCACATTGTTATTACATGTTATCCTGTTATCTTTGTTATGGGTAAAACAGCATGGCCTAGAAAGCTTTGATTGGTATACAATCTAACCACATATGAGTAAGCCTGCCTGGTTGTCTGCATCCTCTTCAGCATAATGGGGATAATTTATTGCTATCTCTGCTGAGTCTCACTGAACAGAAGTGCCAGCAAGCACTTCTTAATGTATATTTCTAAGCATTAACTGTGAAAAACAATCGTCGTAGTCAGTGTCTTGAGCGCTTAAGAGAAAAACATCTGTATGGATTTTCCCAATACCTTTGTTCCATCAAAGTGTCTGAGATACAGCCTTCAGAAGCTGTGGAAGTGATTAAGAGAAGCAGTTTTTTTTTCACCCTCAGCATGTAACTCCTTGCTCTGGAAAGTCTACTCATGTCCTTCTCTGGGTATTTTTTTTTTTGTTAAGTCCTCAGGGGTTATTAATTGGTGGTTGTTATCACTGTTTGTTGCTATTTTTATTGTTCTTATTTGATTTTAGCTCCTTAGTCTTATGCTTTTAACAGTGGTATGTGTTTAATTATTACCGGTGGCTAAAACTAGTTTTCTTTAAGTGGGAAACCCATCTGGGGAAATCATACTTTGAATCTGAAAGCTGAGATCTAGTTTTGGCTTATTTTGGACTTTTAAAACTGATTTTAATTTAAAATCCAGATCCTTTAGATTGCCCTCTTTCACACAAATTAAAAGTATGTTATGTTGAGCCGCTGATGCTTTGGCATAACCCCATGGTCGTCATGATGGCTGTGGCATCCAGAGCCACCCTGACAAGGCAACCTGAGTATAAATGCTGATATTGCATCAGTAATAGCAGTTGGGGACGGTGGTGGCTGGACACCATCTCAGAGGCTCTCTCTTTCTGGGCAGACAGGGCAGACAGTGGGGTGGGCACCACCCTTAGATTGTCACAGAGACCCAGCACAGGCTGCAAAAACAAAAACAAACAAAAAACAAAACCCTGGACTATCACTTTAAGTAAATAAGGAATGTGAACAGAAAAACTGACTTCATACAGACCACAGTGTCCTTCCCTCCTTTTCTTAGACTTGAGTCTTTCCTCATGCTGAACTGAGTATCTGGAAGGGCATGTGATGACCTATGCCTTTATTCACCTATTTCCCAAGTCTCAGTTACATATGACAGATCAGCTGCCTTCTATGTGATCAACATGTATATGAAGGAGATCTTACCTTATTCTTGACCAAGCTGTCATTTGAAAGGGGCATCCTAATACCCTAGGCCTGATTATTAGGACCAATGTAAAGATCTGAGGGAAAGGAAAGATGGAATATAATACAGATGATCACTCTCTGAATCATGGTCTCCTTGACAGCTAACTTCCTAGCATAATATTGCTCCTAACCTGTAATCATCTTGACTTGGGGGGGCAGTTTCTCTTATTTGGGACCACCATTTTCTCCAAATTGCTTCTGAGTATCTTTATCTAGAATACCATGAAAAAGATTGGCATAAGTCAAAATGGACTTGATGGCAGATGACGATGATGATGATTAGACTCCTGAAAGGACACCTATCCGGTGGGCCATAGTCTATTAATAATGAGTATCCTAAACTTTCCTGAAAGTTAACTTGACATAACTATCACAATAAGAAGGCATTCAATCAACTTTTTAAAAGTTGTTGTGGAAAGGATTAAACTAGTAAATGCCTGTGGCCCCTTAGGTATCTACACAGGATCATTTCAGGTCCCACACACCATTAATGCATGTAGTTTTACCCGTGTACTCAAAATCTATTTCATGTGTTTGATGTTTAATTGTTGAATCTAGTAGTAAGTTGTAACTAGAGTAATCCCATGGGGTTTGGTCAATTAACTTCTCTATACATTCCATTGATTCATTGAGTCTATGTTAGCTGTGACTTACTGATGGATTTCAGCCACTGTTAATAAAAAGTTGACTTCCTATCTGAAATAATAACTGGAGGTTCTCTTTGACTCTGGCATCAGATTAGTAAAATAGGAAGAGTTTAAAATATAGTTCGAGGAGGTTTTAGCTTCTAGAAACGTAAAAATTTCTTCCACTAGGATTGTTTATGTATAACATTTGCTGTTGCTGCATTTCTTTTCCTGTATATTATTTTAATTGTATTTGCTTGCACATATAACTTGTAAATAGCTGTCAGATCCTTTATGGTGAATGGCAGCATAGAACTGGAAGATGTTTATTGATTCTGAAACAGGTCTCCAAATAATTGGTTTGACATCTCTTCCAAAGAAATCTCTCTTCCTTTAACTTTCTGGGGACTGTGAAAGACAGGCCTTTGTCCCCAAGTAGAATTTATTGTAAAAGAAGGGATGACAGATACGTTCAGAAGGGGAAGAAAATTGCAAGAATGAACTCCGGGCTTTTCATTTTTTCAGCTCATGTATTCACAGTAAAACTATTTCTCTGTAGTCGACTATCTCTTTCTCAGATGAAGTTGCTGAACAAGGATGAATTAAAGGGGATGAAATGCTGCGTTATCAGATTGCAATCATTTTAAGACCAGCTGAACCACAAGGGTGATTTGTAAAGTTAGAGGCTGCACTGGCAAGTTGTCATGTAGAGTAGGTTGTGTTTTGGAGAACATGAAATATCATCCAAACACAAGTTGCCTGACTTTTATTTTCTTGTTCTTATCTGGAACTTGAAGAAATAGGAACTTCAAAGACAAATGGGAACTTCGTCAGACCTATTTCTTAAAAAGTGGAACTCAGAATTGGGCATAGAAACTGCCTTGCTGTTAAAGTAATCCCAATTTAATAAGAAGTTATTTAAAAAATGTTGCAATGTGCAATCTTGGAAGTGCACTAGTTTTCAAAAACATTTGACCAGCTTTTCCCAATCTTTATGTAAGTTGCTTACTAGAGGGATGAGCTGCTATGGATGATAGAATTCACTGGAGATTTTTATTAGATGCTAAAACTTCAAGCACTGTTCATGTGTTGTAAGATAAACATTCACAGTACCACCGTTCTTGTGGAACACCATCCATTGTCTGACAGCCACAGTATGCAAGAGAACCTCTCCATCTCTATTTTTTTAAAAAGGTCTGATATATGTCAGAACATAACATATTTATTAAGAGACTGGAATTCTGTTCTTGTAAGTGTACTTGGCCTCTATAGAGATCAGTGTCTCTCTGTTTTTTATATTCCAAACAGCAATGCAGTTTTTCTTAGTAGGTAGTAGCACACATAGCACATAGAACTATCAAGCTCTGGTAGCAGGTGGTTGCTGGGCATATTCTACCAGCACAGGTTGGATGTTGGGAAGAAACATTTTGTTTGTTGGCATTTAGGAAGCAAAAGTGATAGACAACTGAATGTTGCAAATGACAGGTAGGAGCAGGGTGGGGAGCTGCAGATATATATGGTTTGGGTTTTTGAGAAATGGTTTACTTGAATGATCTGTATTGCCTGTCTGTGTGGACATCTACCTATCTTCCCATGGTCAAATTGGGTATTTGAATATGAATAAAGCAGAAAGAAAAGAAATGTATGTCCAGGATTAATTATTTACAGAAACAGCAATCTTAAAGGTGGCTTCTGGAATTTCCTATATCATTACTAATTTATCTTCAACATTTAGGTCTTTCATTTTTGTCCTCATCTGAACACATCTTCTTGGAAAGAAGTTCCATTGATTTATATGAATTGTAATTCAAAGTAACACACTTTGCAAAATGCTAAAGCAATGCAATCTATCTGCAGTTACTTCCATGTGAATCAAATACTTTTCTTAGCGTGATTTTTCTCTTTTGCTGCCCTTTTCCTGAAATTTTAGGGTACTCGTCAACCAAACAGAATAAAACTCAGAACCTGCTTTCATAACATTACAAATAAGGACACTTAGAATCTATATGTTAGATACTCTTCAGATAACACTAGAAATATTAATTAGAGTTGAATTTAAATTTATTTGTTACTCTTCACACTGGAAAAAATCACTTTAAGCTAACAATGGAAATTGTTAAAATATTTCAGTAACATAGCAAGGAGAGCTGAACAAGGCTTGATAGGGATAGTAGTAGTAGTAGTTCATCATGTAGAACTTTGCTTTTAATCATTATATCTCTGGATTGTCAAGATGCTAGATGCCTCAAATTTCTTTGCTAATAATTTATTCTGCCCTTAATTCATACAGGTGTCTTACATTGGTCAAGATTGCAAAGAAATCCCAGAATTTCTAGGGAGGAAATACGGAAACATTGCAAGAAGGCTGGATCTTAGCTTCAACTTGTTACGGTAGGGCATGAAAACTATCTATCAACACCTGAATAAGGGTAACATTTTGTACACTTTCTTACTTTTTGTTTTGCCATTTGTCATCAGTATTGATACTGTTCTCCTATAAGCATTTTGTTGAGAGAGCTAGCCTGTTACCGGCCAATTTCAGGTCTTCATCTTTTCTCAGTATCAAGCCTATATGTGGTAAACAGTTTACAGTTAACTTTAAAGAAAACTGTGGAAGAATACAGAGGAAGGGATTATCAGTCTTAAGGATTGTTTGCAATGTAACAGATGCTGCTTATGCTGTGTAAAAGTTTGTACTATTCTTCATCTGCTTTTGCTGAAAGAAGTGTGGAATGAAAATGTGTATGAGGCACAGTGCAAGAATTTCTACGTTTTTGCAACTGGCTAAGATTTTGGCAATTCTCTTCTAGAATTATCTTAAATTGTTGAGATACAAGAACAGTTTAAAATGAACAAAGTGGTGTTTTCATTTTCAGACTTGAAATGTGTTTCCTAAACCCTGGCTGGTTACTGTACCAATAAAACTGGATTGCCACTAAACAGAACTCTTGTGCAACCTAAGAGCTTAAATAAAAGCCATTGTAACCCATTTGGTTTATGCAGAATAATGTCTCTTTAGAGACAAGAAATTTTTATATGGGGTTCTCTGTATACATGGAAAGGGTGCATATAAAATAATCTAATCGATAGTTTATACCACAATCCTATGCATACTTATTTGGAATAAAAAGCTATTTGATATTTTAATTTGAGTAAATGTGTATTGAATATGGCTGAAAATGCTAAGAAGCAAGATCTGGTTGTTACTGCATAAAGACAATAACTGTTGTCTTTGGTAATCTTAAATGTTCGTAATTTGAGTAAGCATTGAAGAACTAAGAGTTGGAACTCAAAATATAGGAATACGTCACTTACTGATATGGGCTCAGTGGATGATATCTCCTGGATGATGATGGTGTCTCTGATAAATTACTAGTCATTAGTCTTGTAGCAAATCTACGATATCAAATGCAATACATAACTAACTGGCTATATTCAGATGTCATGTCTGCCATGTCTCAATTATGATTAGATTCTGATTTGGTGGTCTTGCTCAGATATATCTTTGTGAATAGTAGATCACTTGTTCCTGATCCTCCATATTATAAGGAATACTTTACCTTAGAGAGTTCCTACTTCTCTTTGAAGTGGGAGACCAGTCTTGGATTTAGTATGTGTGGATATTAGGTGTCTGTTATAATTCAGCTTTAAGAGATTATAAGTATAGTTTTCAATATGTCTCTATTCATTTTTATCGTATTTTGAAAAAAAAATCCAACCAGTTTGGGACAACTGCATTCTAATACAATTGATACTTGACTGATGAATGAATGAATGAATTAATGAATGAATGAACTTTATTTACAGTCCTTAGACTTATTATACAGAGAAGTGGACAACCCAGATCCACATAGTCTCTGCAATACATAAAACATTAAACATAGACATAAAACAAACAAACAAGCATACAACAAGTATAAAACAAACAGGTATACAAGCGGTTCAAAACACTCCGTATCAATACCAGAGTCAAGTATGGGGAAATTTCTGAAACTTGAGAATCACCAGACAAAGCCCAGCTACCCAGAGACCTTTGGGTAGAGTGGGAAGCCCAGCTACCCAGAGTCCTTTGGGTAGAGTGGACGGCATATAAATTAAATAAATAATAAAATACCTTGTATGATATCTTACTATCCCTGTCTGAGAAGAGATACGCAAGTCCGGTTTTCTCTGCTCGGCCAGGTATGTTTTCAATCAATGGGGCAATAATCTGATTTCATGCTACTGCATAATGTGGGCAGCAGAAAAACATGTGCTCCATGGACTTGATGTGAAATGGCTACCATATTGTATTTATCAGCTTATAACAATATGACACACAGTCAGAATATCCAAAATACCGGTAATTTCAGTAAAAAGATAGTTACTGTACCATTGTTCTTATCTAGAATCTTATCCGAGCAATGAGAGATATATTAATGTTGTCACAAGTCTCCACCGTTGTTGATCTCTATGTGAATATAAACCACCTTTTAATGCAATTTTTAAAATGCCACAAAGCATTACGAAAGTCTTGTTTAATCAGAGATTTATCATAGTTCCTGAAAAAATTTAAGCAAAAAAATGTGGGATGAAATGACTGACAGCAGCTATGTGAATTCCTCAATTTAATTATTCTTAGGGAAGTAAACAGACCTTACTTTCAATGAAAAGTGGTTGAAATGAATTAGGTTGACAATCTCCTGACACATTTGCCTATTTAAAAAATTAGGAGAGAAGAAGGTGCTGAAAATGTTGAATGTTTTGATAACTACCACAGGAAAATATATCTAAATTAAATTTCATTTGTATCTAAAATTAGTTAATACAGGACATATAAAGAGATATTAGCTATATGTTATGTGTTTTCATTTTCCTAGAGAGATAACAGATGAAATCTAGAAAAAGTCAGAAATTATAAGGGGTCATAAAAATATAGTTAAGATATAAAATAGCAACAACAAAACATCTGTACAACTAATTGCATGTTTCCAAGATAGAATGTGTTCAAGAAACAAAACAGATTCGAAAAGTATTTGCCATGTGTAGTTGTTAACAGCTGGTGAAGAGCCACCAATGGCATACATGACAAATGTGTTTTGGATTGGGGGGAGTTTTCTATATAATGTGACATGTGGTGGTTCCATTAATAGGTAGCAAAAGCATCACAAGTAATTTCCAAAGTAGATCTTTGAGTCGTGTCTGTAGTTCATGTCTGATAGATCCTGGTTAACAAGATCTGGTTCCTAAATGGGATGCATTTAGCCTGAGCAAAAAATAAAATAAGAAGTAGCTGCCTAAAATACAGACTGAAGAGTTGGGTTTGGAATCGGAGTGTTGTCAGGTCATCAGGAGACATCACAACAACAAAAAGAAGAGTCATGAAGTCATGTTATGCCAATTTTTGGAGGAAATACTCCAGTATTTGGCATGATGCAATCTACCCACCATTGCATGAGAAAATTCTTAGTCTACTGGCTTATTTTAGATTTCAGATGGACAGGGTTGGTTTACATATATCTTTTCATTGCTTGGTGACTCTGAGGTGAATGTTGTTTCTGTTCAAATGTTAGGTAGCATGTTGACTCCATTTATGTAGGTACATCCAAGAATTTAAGATACTGTATATGTTCTCACAATAATGAGACTTCCAGAAGGTAGAACAAGAGAGGGTGAGAAATGTGAAACAAAGTACAACATTCTGATTATATTCCCTTAGGTGATGATGATGATGATGATGATTTGCTTTAAAACGTTAAAATGCAATATTGTTAAAAGTTTTCTTTATGGGTATGTTTTTTAGGTACTGCAAGTATGTTCCCTGTAATTGGGTAAACCTTAATAGTAGCAATTGCATATTTATCAGTGAGAGAGGCTGTTATTAATGTCGCTGTCATGCACAAACACATTTCTGCATGAAATCCATTTAGTATGTGCATTATTCGGTCTGGAATGTCACCGGGACATCAAAGCCCCCCTTAGGCATAAGAGCCCAGTGCCCTGCTGCGGCTGCAGAAAGGGCTTGATCAATAAATGTAACATGTTAATGCGGAGCAAATAGAATAAAAGATTTTCTTTGACAAGACATGAAAAATCACCTTGTGTCAGCTGGCATGGCGATGCCATTTCAGCAGAGACACTTGCAAACTTGATCTGACAAGTAAAGAGGAGAGATGATGGTTATAAGGTGCTTTTGTTTCAAACTTCTTTTTTGACCTGTCAGGCTTTGAAGGAGTCTGAATGGCCCTTTTTTGTCATGTGAAAATTGTAGTCTTAGGCAGTTATGAAGCAGTTATCTCTTCTCAAATTGTGAATGCTGCTGTTTAATTGATTCACTTAGCATTTGAAACTGTCACGCATTAATAATTGCTAAATCCTGTAGGTACTCTCTGATGTGTCATGCTTAAATGTGTAGTTATCAGAAAATTAATATCCTTAATGAACCAGCGCTTCAGACTAGCATTGCATGAAATTCTCCTTTGCCCTTTCATTTGCTGAATGTATATGAGCCGGTTTTCAGAGCGAACCCCTCCTGGAGGCTGGTTGCATTCTTTTTGATGCCCGACAATTGCCAGATTTGCTTTGGGTACACAGTGTGCTAAATGACAAATACAGTAATTATACTGGAGTTGGTAATTAACATAATTATAGTCAATTATGACAAATACAGTGCAGAGCTAAATAAATGAGAGGGGGGAGAAATTAGCACGCTAATTGATTTATCTTGTTTGGTTTCTGCAACTGGCAGCTCAGTTTCTGCAGGAAATAAAGTGAATGTTTACAAATACTGGATTTTGTTGTAAAGCCATTCTGTCGGGTAACTCTTCTTTGACCTACATGATTGATTTCCTTTTTTAAAGGACTGGAATTTTGTTGGCAGTGGGGTGGTGGGAGGGAATCCCCATGCTGATTTTTTTTTTTAAAGATAAATCAGACTCATCAGGTTTTGTTCACATGATTTAGATTTCTGAAAACAAGCAGATTTGTCTTAATTTCTCAATCCATACAGAGATTGTTATTGTAGTAATGTACTGTTAACATAATGTAGTTCTTAAACTATAATTTCTCATAAGGGCCAAAAAGGGGGTGGATGGGGAAGGAACCTTTCTGTCTAGGAACCTAATCCAAGAGGGCTGAACAGGTCTCTGCAGAACAGAATAATTAAAGAACTTGAAGAATGCAGTCCAAGGTTGCAGACATAGCTGATGGGAGGTGTTCTTCTGCATCTATTGCTTGGACAAAAAAAACCCTATTCATATAAAATTGAAAGAAAATGTTTTCAGGCAGACATGTTTAGAAGAATAGGTGCCAGGAATCTAAATACTAAGCACAGGGTTCAGCATGCAGACGACAGGAAGCTTTTCAACTTCCTATCCACCTGACAGCATCTCTCTACTCCCCCTTCCTGAAGA